GGAAGAGGAGTTAGCTATAAATGAATTTTTTGACAAAGTTCATGCCACGACGATCTATACTATATGGAAGGGCTTGTTGATGCATTCCTGTTGAAGTTGAAAAAGAGACAAACATGAGTCTTTCATTCCTCCTCCCAGATTTGCTTGGATTATCTTATAATAAAATAAGAGGAGATAGCTATTCTTAGGAAATGACTGAACTTAAAAGAAAGATGCCACCCCCTTTCATTAGGAGGCGAGGGAGTAACTTGTCTGATCTTGCGGTGCACTCACTCCCGTTACAAGAATGAAATGACGCCCCAGCTCGACTCGAGACCAAGACTCCTTACAACTCGCACCAATAGTGAGCGGCCGAAGATTGAATGAAAAGGCAGCTGCCCCTCCCCCCTAGCCGCCTACCTACTCATGCTCGTAGCTCGATCGGAGGTGAAGACTTTTGTCCGGCGGAAAAAGAGAAGTCGTTCGTCTCAAGTGATACGTTAATTGCTCAGTAGTGCTTCGCCACTACCGTAGCTGGCGGAAATAGCTTAATGGTAGAGCATAGCCTTGCCAAGGCTGAGGTTGAGGGTTCAAGTCCCTCTTTCCGCTCTTGGCTTCGTCATTTAGTGGTAACGAGTAGAGTAGGCATCGCCTCTCGATCCAATCCGTCTTTCCCTGGCCTCCCCAACACACTCTTGATACGAAAGAAACCTCCCGCCAATCGGAATCGGAATCGGATTCGGAAAGAGAAGAAAGAGATCTAAAGTCTGGGCATCATCCCCTCAATCACCCTTCCCTTGAACCGGAACTGGTCGAGAGAGATGAACCTGCACCACATTTTATAACCTTCAAACCGAAAGCGCCAACTAGAGATGGAATTCCATAACCTAAAAAAGTAAATTGAGAGCTCCCGGTTCAATTCAAGGGAAGGTCCACCAATAATGGAAAGGCCATTCCCCTCCCTATCCCTTTCTTGATCCCTCATTCCACGAATTAGTTTTTACTGATTCATTCAAGGACTGAAAGCTTTTCGTTTTATGAAAAGGCATAGACTCCCCACTTCTTTGTCTTATTAGCGCAGGTGTTCGTCAACGATGAAAGCCGCTGAACTTAAGATAAGACTCGAGTTGAGAAAGAGGGCTAGGCCAAGGATAGGAGGGCTTTCAGGGACTGGGGAGGGTGGATTATAGAGCTAGGGGCGGATCAGAGGTTTGTCCATTGGGATTGGGCATGGACGAGCCTCGACTGGGCCAGCATTGATGAAAAAAAAACTTATCCCATCGCATCATTAACCGGTGTAGGATTAAAGATCAGGTCCAGGATTCGAGTCAAATCGACCTTCCCTCTCATCTCAGGGTGAGGCAAGGTAGCTTGCTCAAATGTTCGTTGTTCAATATCTCGGCTGCTCAATTGGACTAGCTGCTCCCATTCCTCAAATAAATGACGGAGTGGACTCCCTTCTCGGGGAAGGGTAGAGCCTCACCTTGCAGTAGGAAGGTTTTCGTTGCTGGGACGGGTTCAGAAGGGAGGAGGAATGAAAGACTCCGATCTTACTGGGGATTCATCACTGGCTAGGGCTTTCTAATCAAAGCATGGGCATCTGAAACTAAGAGGGAACAGTAGATCGTCGATGGAAGAGCCAGGTCAGTCAACTTCTATTGGGACTTCTATTGATTATTGATTCGACTAGAGGGACTCCTAGCAAGAAACTTGTATGACGGGGCCCCATGAAGACGCAGGAGATGCAGGAGTGAGATAAACATCCAGATCGACCAAAAAATGATAGGCCAGAGGGATGGGCTCATTCGACTAATTAGTGATCCCTGGCCCTACCTAACAAAGAGATGTCCCTAAAAAAAATAAGAGGGGATTGGTTGATCGGAAAGCTCGGGCAGGAGTAGGACATTCCATAAAAATCTTTCTGATCCGCTAGCTCTCACTCCTTGCCCTATTCGGTCAAGCAGCTTAACTCCTCTCACTATTTTTTCATCGACAGGTAGGGTGAATTCTAAGGTTCCTTATTCCGGTTCCGGTTGTAAAGCGGGAGCAGGCCATTCCCCTATCTGTTGTTAATTTCTGATTCAACTCGATCAGTCACCTGAGAAAAATCTTACTATTGATAAATAGTAAGTTAGCAACTCATGAATGGAATAAGAGAATAAAGACGAGCTGGATTGACTTACGGAAAAGCTTGGAAACGAAGTCACTTAAATCGATAACTATATGCGTTACACAACTTCGATTTTCAACAATGGAATAAAAACCTTATAAGTCGAGAGACAAATAATTTCGAATTGAATGAATTCGTATTCGTTACTGTCCAATTTATGTTATTTGTCGAGATTGGTCTGTAAGAACCATCGAGTCTTCGTCTCACTCGTATCAAATCCTAGCTACTCTAATGCTCGTGCAATTTAGCTTATAAACCTCATGAACTCAAACTCATTAGTTCGCTCTGGATCTTCTCAATTCATCTTTCAGCTTCATTGCTCTAAAAGCAAGCCTTGAATTAATTCATTTAGAAATTGCTTAACTTAATGGGAGAGAACACCGGGCTTGGTTCCGTACTCCCTCAATCCAAGAAGGAACTCCACAAGCAAGGAACCATTACTTTCCGAGCATATTAGCGAAAAGGCTCATACATAGGCAAGGAGGCCAAAAGCTTTCTTTATTCATTTGTTAGCTTCCCGAAGAGAGGAAATGCGTCTTCGAATCAAAGGGAGAGGAAGGAAATGCGTCCTGAATGGACAACTGGTGACCTCGGGTGAGGGGCACGAAGGGAAGGGTATAATAAGTCTTGCTTTCCAGTCTCACCCAAGAGTCCCCGAAAGGGCCACTAGTAAGTAAGACTCTATCTTATCTTCGATTACAATACTATTATCTTAATTGAAGGTATGTAGTTTCATAAAATAATTACGGGAATAGAATTCAGGCTGAAAATAAAGAGACACAGAGTCAGGGGTTTACAGAAAGTGGAATGTGGAATGGATAAAGAGAAGAGGTCGACTAGAGCGCCAACAAAAGGCCAAAGAGACAAAGAACCACCAGCGGCTCCACCTACCTGGCGAAATCACAGATCCACTGTTTTTTTCTGCATAGGATGAGCCGCTTAAATGGCGCCCTCCTTTTCCTTTCTTCGGAAGTTTTTGGGGGGATCGAACCCCGCTATACTAGTCTGATCCAACTAGAGTTGGACCAGACTGAAGCATCCTCACTTCCGGCTAAGCTAGACGAGATCCGGAGGAGGGAGCTTGCTCGGTTTGGCTTCTTCTTCTTAGACTAAATCGCGATAGTGAAACCAAGCCGTATAAAGGCAAAGAGCCCTTCAAGCATAGCAATAGCTAAGCCTACTTATTGCCTTCCCCCCTTTGTCCGAATTCGGGGACTTTGGCCTTACAAGCTCATAAAATGGCAATTCTTCGCGTTTTCCTCATACAGAAGAACAACGGATTGAAGAGGACAGGACAACCGGGAAGGGAAGCTTGACATAGTAGATATTTATTTGAACAACGAAACTGAAACCGGTACCAGAAAGCAAACAAGAGATGGAATTAAAAATGGAACAGATGACCGACCTACAATAAGACGAAAATGGAATTCCTAATTCCATTCTCTAAGACGAACTAAAGGAATGTCTCTAAGCAGCCAAGGCCAAGAGCAAGCAGGAGTGGTCCTATCTGCCTAGAAGGATTCGATAAAGAGAATGTGAGTGGGCGGGGGATCAATGGACACAGAAAGATAAGAGCAAAAGGCACTAAGTTCTTTATGTGAAAGAAAGGAGCAACAGGTTAGACTTTTACACTTTCCCGAAGATAGCTCAAAGCAATAAGATGAAAGATGGGGGTGGAGGAGATAAAGGAGAACACTAATCCCCTAAAATCCCTCATTAGGGAACACCTGTAAGATGAGTCTGCCGCTTTCTTTCATAACAGAGCCGGGAATAACGGCTGGCATAGAAGTCTCTCGCACGCAAGGAGATGCATTTCTGGTACGGGTAGTACTGGACAAGCTCTCAGGGAATAATCTCTTTCTTCTTTCTTCCTTTTTTCCCATGACGACTAGGAACGGGCAAATCAAAAATTTCACTTCGAATTTCGGACCTCAACATCCTGTTGCTCATGGTGTTTCACGATCAGTATTGGAAATGAACGGAGAAGTGGTGGAACGTGCGAAACCACATATTGGATCACTCCAGTGCGACACGAAGCCGCTGACGCCGAGTCGGCTCCTATGCCGCTAGCTATGCCCTGCTTGGTCCCCCGGCACGGTGGAGGTCTTACTGAGCGTCATGAGCACCGGGCTAAGGGGCGGTTGAGCAACTCAAGCGAACCGCCCTACCTTACTACAACATAAGGACAGAAGGGAGAAGGTTGTGAAGGTGGCCTCGTTATCCACACCTCCGGTCAGATGAATGGAGGACCGACCCGGGTTTTCATGAGCGTTGGCGGGTCCTAGAGTGCCTGTCAAGGGCTTTCATTAGCGCATACCCCGGGGTGATCATCACCACCTGCACCTCACATCTCGGCACATCGGAACGTGTAACCCGCCTGCTGTCTCATTCAACTACATTTGTTCTTGTAATCCACAGCCTAACAGAACGCAGCAGCGAGGGAGAACCCGCCCATACAGCCAGCGGGGAGGATGGCACTACTGGCAAAGACCGTCCGGCGAAAACGCCGCAGGCGCGAAGCGTGGTAGGCCTGTGCCGGGGGAGCATAGCATAGATAGGAAAGGGAGCCTGGACGGTGGAAGAGCCAGGGGGGGGCGGGTCATTTGACGGAAATGGAAGGCTTTTCCCCTATTAGAGAAGGCCCTCTGAAGTCAAGGGGAATTGCATTAATTCTTGGAAAAATAGGGAGCGAGCCTATAAAAAAATGAATGAAAGTGAATTCAATGAATAGATAGAGTCAACGGTACGACAGACAGCGCTGCCTACACGTGAATTAGCTTCCGAGGTCGAGCAGTCTCAATTTAACTACAGGATTTGCGAATGAATGCTGGGCTGGGCCACCTCGAATGGCGTGAGCCGCATGCGGGGAGACCCGCACGTACGGTTTTTAGGTGGATCTGGTCGAAAGACCGGCCGGCTCCCACCCGACTAGAGGGACTGAGAAATTAATAGAGTACAAAACTTATCTTCAAGCTTTACCTTATTCTGATAGTTTAGAGGGCGATCGCGGAGTCACTGAATGAAGTCCTCCGTTTCTTTCGGAGGTGCTGACCCGCAGCGAGGCAGAGATGACTAAGTTACATATGGAAGATGGCGACGACAATAGCATGTCGTAGAAGGAGATAACAGGTGGAGCCAACGATCCGCTAAGACTCACGTATCTACAACTCCATCCCCGAGCGGTAGTCAAAAGGAGGCGTGAATGCAAGATGCCAGCGGAATGATCGGCCAGACAGAGGCTAGGGCTGCTTCCTTCCCACCGCGTCCTTCCTTGTGTGTCGGAGATATAAAGCGAGTGCACCGGAAAAGAACGGGAACTGGGTCGATCTATTCTATGGCGAAGCATCCGAAGCATAACTGCACACTCACACGATCTTTGCTGAGAGATAGGAGCATTCGGTGGAACCGGTGAACTACACTTGCTTCTGGATAGATGTGTGGGACAGAGGGCTCGTGGTACCTGTTGCCCACCCTTCCTCCTCTGCTTTGGGAACCGTGTGAACGGAGAGTGGGCAGAAGGGAAGGAGGTCCTCATACGGAGTCGCACACTGACTTGAGCAGTGCGGAAGACTGGGGAATGGGTTGAGTAAACTCCCCTGGGGCCGGAAAAATAACAGACGAAGTTTTACTTAGATAGGGCTTTGATTGGTCTTTTTTTTCTTCTTAGTGATTGGAAAGGAGGGCGCCTGGGTATTTTACAAAAAGGGAAGGCAGAGGTAGTACTTCGAATCGCGAAACGAAGGGCTAAATAGCGCCAATGATTCTCTGAGCCGGTCTGGATTTTCAACGCCTCGGGAAACTGGTCGAGATAGATGACAGCACCCTTTTCCTCTCTTCCATTTCCGTGCCAGGAGGGCAATCTTATCTTATGGCCTTTCCCCCCCGGCACGGAAATAGAAGCCAGCCCCCCCTTCTGATCCATTAATTTCTGCAAGCAGGGGGGATCCAGAGCTAAGCCTCCCGTCTATTGCATAACCTAAAAAAGCTATAAGCAAAGTACCAAAGGTGCGCTCCTTTCCAAACCGATCCGGTGACTCAGAAAGAAATTGGTTTGCGCTTTGAAGTGATGAGGTCTTTATTGAAGAGGGAAGTAGGGCTCCTATTAAAAGGCTTTCCCTCCCTCAAAAGGCGACCAGCTTTCAATACTAGTTGTTACGTTACGCTGCCATTTTTCCAATATATATCATTGAATAGCATGGCCTGCCTGGGGCTAAGGTAACTCAAGTGGGAGAGCCGTGTTATGGGTGACCTTATTGCACGGTTCAGAGAGCACTTGTGTATGTGATGCAAGTGAACGTGTACGAAAAAGTTGTATCTAGGGTGAGTTCTTCGTTCCGTCGTCGACCCTATCTATGTTTCTACGATGGCCCAAGAACACGCTCATTCTTCAGCCGTAGAGAGACTTTTGAATTGCGAGGTACCATTACGAGCTCAATATATACGAGTGTTATTCCGTGAAATAACTCGAATTTCAAATCATTCACTTGCTTTAACTACTCATGCTATGGATGTGGGAGCATCCACTCCGTCCCTGTGGGCTTGTGAGGAGCGGGAGAAATTGATGGAATTCTATGAAAGAGTCTCGGGAGCCAGGATGCATGCCAGTTTCATACGACCAGGTGGAGTGGCACAAGATCTGCCTCTTGGCTTATGTCGAGATATTGATTCCTTCACACAACAATTTGCTTCTCGTATCGACGAATTAGAAGAGATGTTAACCGGCAACCGTATCTGGAAACAACGATTAGTGGATATTGGTACTGTCACTGCACAGCAAGCAAAGGATTGGGGATTCAGTTAGATTTATGAGAAAATTCTGGCATGAGAGGACCAATGAGACAGAAGACTGTTGGATGCATTCCTTCGCTAGCAGGGCTTCGGCCCATCTCAATGGAAGAGTCTTCGGTCAGTAATCTCGTACTCTCGACCGGCTCGAACCACTACGTTATCCATGTTCCGGCTCATTCGTATGCTCATCCTATTCTCGCCCAACACCAGAACCTGTAATAAACCATCATTTCAAACCATCCTGTTAAATAAAGGGAATCTTTGGATATCAGTTCGAAGGTATCATTAGCCGAAGAAAGTGAAGTAGCTCATACCTACAGGAGCATCTTCCTTCCCTTTTTTAGGGGGTCGGGAAGAGGAAATCTGGTGTGAGGTCTGAGGTCAACGGTAATATGTCACCCTGCTTGAATGAGAGTACTCTATTTCCATTAGGAGCTTCCCCCAGCTGAGCTAGGCAACTTCCCTAATGAAAGGAATATAGCCATAAATTAAATTAGGGAAGTCAAGAATGATAAATAGCGTAGATAAAAAAGGCGTCGTTAGCAGGATTAGGGCTTCCCATA